CCCAATCCATGCCCACCTCTGAGTGATACCAGGATTTTTTCATAAAATGAATTTTCATAATTCTTTGAAGTTACAGAATGCGAGATTAAAACACTCATCCTATGCTCACTAACCAAGCTAAGGCATGTTAATTGGATGCATATTTTAAAAAATATTGAGATTTATTCATTACTTTCACGCAGTGTTGACGTAAGTACTCAGAAAATGTACTTAAGTATAAGTACCAATTACTCAGTAAAAAATGTACTTAAGTATTTATATACTTATAAGTATTAAGTAATGTAGACAATTGAGTACTTTGTACTTAAGTACTAAATACAAGTACCAAGTACTTGTCAAAATTAAATCAAAATGTTATTTATTTATTTGAGATACACTTAAGACACTTTATTTTCAAAAAGTTTATTTATTAAGTCACACACAGTTCAGTTTGTTCTTTTTTAGCAGCAACAGAGTCTCAAATCATCACACAGTCTATTTCTTTTTGGTGTAAGAATTAGTCCAGATTGACTGAACAAACGTTCAACGGGAGCCGATAATGGCACAGTTGTGCTGTATTTTAGAAACAATCTTGTTACAGTAGGATACCCGATTAACGTTAATTAAAGTTTTTAACTTTTATTTATTTATTTATTTAAGAGAAACGGCTCGGGTGAACCCCTTGCCAACAGTTAAAATGATCGTTGTCTCGAATAATTCAGAATCATCATAGCAAAGTTCAAACTTAAATCAATAAAGTCCTAATCTAGTAAAAAACGTTCAAATTAAATTAATAACAAAAGAAATTCAAATAAGCATAAAATTTCAAATCTGTGAAAAATTATTCAAATTTAAAACGAAAAATAGTTCAAATGATAAATTAAAATTAAAATTCAACAAAATCAAACTATGTCAAACATTCTGTCACCATAGTAAGAATCTAACATCACTTTGAAGGCATTCACAGAAGGTGCGTTCACCACTTCTTCCTGTAACTCGTTCCATGGTTTAACCACTCGATTTGAAAAGTAATATTTTCTGTAATAATCTTTTCTGGCCATACATGAACTTAATTAAAGTTTTTAATTATTGTTATGTAGAATATAATAGAGACATAAGTTTAGAATAAGAATAGTTGGTAAGATAGCACCAAAGTATGACTCCACAGAAGCTGCTTCTCCTTGGAGCTTGTCAAGAGCTTGTAAAATCGGTCTCATTAGTTCTAACCCTTCGCTGAGAAAATTCAATTCTATATTGCTAAACTTCGGCAGCTGCAGACGCTCCACCACAATATTCACGTTATCTTGTAAACTATGTATAATATTATAGCTGTCAAACTCAGAGTTCCAGCGTGTTCCATTCGGTTTGGAAATTTTTCTTCCCAAGATCTCATGCACAACTTCAGCAGCTTTTGAACTCTGGTGGGATGCACTGTTGAGTCTGACACACTTACTGGAGACAGGTACTGGAGAGAGGTGTATACATTCTTTTATAATTGCCATTATTAATCAGGGCTTTGCTTGCATCAGTTGTAGCCAGCAAGTTTAGAGTGTGTGAGAAACAGGAATGATGAGAAGGAAGATAAATTCCTGAATTGTCATCTGTATTATATTCCACAAATTTCTCACTTATATTAATATGAATAGCTTCTTCTTCATCAGCCTGAGAATCATCAAAAATGCCTGGTTCAGCAAATTTCTTGAAAGCTTTCAAGAAATTACTGCCGAAGTCTGTTACAACATTTACTATCTTGGATGAATCAAGATCAAATTTGCTGTGAATACTTGTGAATTATGATTGCAATTCTGTCATAAGAATGTGTTCCACAGAAACGACAAAAGGCGATTGCAACGCTACTACGCTTAAAATCACCAGGATCAATCCAGTGGCAAGTCACACCAATGTAACTGCAAGCCTGTTGTGTCCAAATGTCAGCAGTTGTACAAACATATTTGCATTTTCTTTAACAATCTGTTTCATGTTGTTAAACCACATCTCCAGCATACCTTTTAGTGTTTCTGTACACATCACATTCTGCAATTTTTTCATTTTTAATAATTATTAGTAATTTTTACTGTTATAATTTTATGTAGCATTTTTTCCATTAAGATTAATATTTAGTTAATTCTTTTTTCCTTTTCCCGGTCTCTGAAAGAGGTCTTTTTTGAAAATTTCAAAATCAATATTAAATAAATTAATTAAATGTAATTAAATTGTAATAACTGTAATAATTGTAATAAAACTAACCTTGTCAGCAAAATTTTGCAATCACAGACTTTAGATGTGACCTTAAAACATTTAAACACAGTTAAATTTTTTCAATACGATTATTGTTCTAATGATGCTTTTTCAGCAATGATTGAGGAAGCCAAAATATTAGCAATTGAACTGGAAATTTGTGAAAGATTCGATGATGAAAAATTCACACGATTGAGGAAGCCAAAATATTAGCAATTGAACTGGAAATTTGTGAAGGATTCGATGATGAAAAATTCACACGCGTGGGCAAAACCGACAACTTTCATATGATAAAATTGAACAAAGTTTAGAGTATCTTTTTACAACTAGATATTATTGGCATATTAATTAAAACAGTAAATGGTACACATCTTCCATTATTAAAACATAACACGTTATTTGGGTTTTAAATGATAGATTTACTTAGTTATTAGCAGTAAATGATTGATTTACTCAATTATTAAAACATATTACGTTATTTGTTTTTTTGAACAATATAAAAGACATGAATGTAAAGGATGACAAATTGTTAAAACACTGTAAGGACTTACAATTGGCGCTAAATCTGGTATCAACGAATGGAACTGTGGGACAAAACGAAAGCTATATGGAAACTTGTTGATCCTTCAAAGAGCTATCCAAAAATGTTTTGCAATATATTTATTCATCGAAATTTGTCGAAGTACTTCTTAACCTTTTGATAGCTCTTTGTATTGTTTTAACGTTACCAATCACAGTTGCTAGTGCCGATAAGTATTTCAAATTTACAAATAATAAAATCGTATTTGAGATCTCAAATGTGGCAAGATCGTTTGGTTGGCCTTTTTACCATTTCAATCGAAAAAGAAATTGCTGATCAATTGGATATGGGAGAATTGATAAAAAAATTTGAATTTAAAGCCAGAAAAATTCATTATTAAATACAATTTAGGTATATAAATTAATAATTTGTTAACGTGTTTTTTAATATGCCTTGATTTGTGAGAAATTTGTTTTCAAATGACTTTTCAAATAAAGTAAAATGAGATTGAAGTTAGAATAATCAGATTTTTTATTTTTCAAATAAAACATTTTTTATTCGCATGTTACCTATTCACAAAAGAGTTCTAGAACCGGGCTTGGCCGATGCTTTAAGTATTTTTCATGATAATTTAAATTTATGTTCTCGAATGCTTTACAAAAAAAAAATCTGTTAGTGAATTTCATTAAATTTATTTTGATTTACCGGAAATCAACTAAAAATGACACCTTGTTATTTTTAATAAACGAATAACAGTCTTGTTTATTATTTGCTTACCAAACCAAGTTTTTATGAAAAACTGCAGCTGCGCATGCAAAAAGCTACCAGAACTAAACAAGAACAACATGCTTATAAATTTCAAACTAAATGTTTTTGCAAAATTTTACAAATGGAGAATGTTATTAATTTTAAAAAAATTAAATTTTTTTCTAAGAAATTTTTTAGGATCGTGTTTTTTAGTTGGCCGGCGAGATGGCTCAGTGATTCAAATGCTCACTGAGTCAAACATCTCAATGGCTATCATATACTCAGCGTATATGATGCGGTGCTTGCGCGTGCACATAAATATATGTGTACGTCGTGTGAAAAGAATAAATAGCCTTTGTGGCGAAGATGGCTGCTTCAAATCAATGAAGATATGAAGAACATAATCTATATATGCAACGTGGTTCTGCGTATGTCAGAGCTGCAATAATAAAGACTAAAAAAATTATGCATAAAAATATGCAATCATCTTTCATTTTGAAAATAAAGGCTAATAATGTGAATAAAAACACAATTTTTTTGGTATATTTTAAAATATAAATAATTTTACTAAATAAAGAGTTACATTGACTGATGACAAGTGTTTTTTAAAGTATTTTTTATTTAGTAATATTAAAATTGAATTTTTTTTCTGATAGTTGGAATCCGGAGTCGGAATTTTAGGAGGGGCCGGAGTTTCTATTTTTTTATCCGACTGTTAAAAACTACTACTAAAAAAGATCCACAAAAAATATTTTAAACCAGTCAATGTAATTGTTTTTTTTTATTAAAATTATTTTATATTTAAGTTTCAAACTCTACTGAAAAATAATGATATAATTTTTTGGCATTATCATTCGTGCCTAAAAAAATAAGCGTTGCTTTTTTGGTGCCTCGCAACGCGAGTATGCAAATTTTTTAACAGCACTAAAATGAGAAACATGTCTAGATTTTCTGTTTTGAATTAACTCTAATATTTTCATGGTTTTGTTTCAATTCAGTCTGTATTATAATTATAAAAATTGAGAAAAAAGATACAACAACCTTCAACGAAATTAGAAAGATTGAAAACTGTTGAAAAAATTGAATTTTGTGAAGTACTAAGAAAAAAACAATGAAACATCAAAATAATTAAGGTACCAAAACGCTATCATGATGTTAGTCTTAAGAAATAAACTCAAAACACAACCATTTCATAAAATTACAGCTTGTTCAATTTGAAATGTAGGGAATATTTAAGAGCTTATGGTAATGTGGCAAAAAATAAGCTGGTGACCCTTTTTTCTTATAACGTTATTGTTTGGTTGATTTTCTGCATAAAAACGCTGTTCTAGGCAAAAAAACTGGATCTATTTAATATCTATAATCTATAATAACAGTTTTTGTTTTCGCATGGTAAAATAATACTTTTTAATCGCAATATATATAGCTTTTTGCATTTTTGTTTTTGAATTTGTTTTCTAATTTTTTAACTCATTTTTAAATTGATCTTTTTTTTATACAATTTTTTTAAGCTGCGAAACAAATATTTTCTAAATACGAAGACCCCACAAATGGTTTGGTGTCGGTGTCGAACTTGGCAACCATGCTTCGCTCCTTGGGCCAGAACCCAACCGACAGCGACATTGCATCTATGACTTATCAACTTAACGGTTAAAAGCTTATTAATTGAAAGCAATTTTTACGTACTTTATCATTCTCCACTAGTGATTCAAAAGCATGTAAAATATCCCAAATACAATGCGCTAAATTAACATGCTTAGTGAGATTAAACACCACATTAATAATATTTTAGAACATAGAAACACACTGGTACACTGGTACGGAATAATTATTTAGGAGATAAGCTTTACATTTTCCAGCAATGCGACCACGCAGTGCGATGCCTACTTCAGATGTTTTGCTCAAGTTTGACGACTTTTGTCTGATTTTACTAAGAAATGCTAAAACAAAAGAAGAAATGAGAGCAGAATATATCGAAGCTTTTCGACTTTTTGATACAAACAATGATGGGTTCGTATACGCGACAGACATACGAAAGATGATGGAGATTGTAGGAGCTAATTATGATGAAGCCGAACTAACAAGTTTATTCCGGGAATATGATAAAAATATGAACGGTCAAATATACTACGAAGGTCATCGTTATAATTAAATTTTTAATTAATAAATCTCATAAAATAAATTAATTTTTTGTTAAAACTTCAGATTTTATTTTAAGAGTGGTTGAAGAAAACATTTTCAGTGACCAAAGAATATAAATGGTTAAGAATTAACAAGCATTTTTCGTGATAATATATATATTTATTTCCAAGATATCTTTCAGTAATTTTAAATAATATTGTTGTTTTTAGATATACAAAATACTACAAAATTTACCTAAATTTAATGGCACTTTCACTCTGAAATTAATTATTTGTGTGAAATACGTTTTTTGTGTGAAACTATTCTAAAAGTTAAATGGAAAAATTTTTGAAAAACGAAAAATAAAATCCATTCATATATAAACACGGGTTGGACAAAATCAGGATTGCATAAATGGACAAAATGCATAAATAACTCACTTTTCAGATCAGTTTACTAGTTAGACGGTAGAATGCCATAACTCCCGTCGTCATTGCGCGATGACCTGGTTCGAAAACTATTTGTTCAAAAAGGAAAGGCTTTGTTACGCCTTAAGCTTATGTTGCGTTGCTTGCACATACAGAGTGCGTGTGGATGTTAGAGCCACTATGACGCATAATAAAATTTTTGGAATATATTTTGATCAAAAACCAACTTTTAGACCTTCCGTTGCATAAGTATCAATCAAAATGGCAAAATTTTAAAATAAAATTCTTTTTACAGAGAAAAAATATGAATAATTTATATAACGATATTTACACATCACATGTAGACTCATTTTGTAGACCTTGAAAAAGCATTTGATCGAGTTCCCCGTGAAGCAATCAGGTGGAGTCTACGTCGACAACTCATTCCAGAATCTTGTTCGACTTGTTCGACTTGTGATGGAAATGTAGACTCTCGTCAGCACAACGGTTGGAAACACAGATGCATTTGACATCGGCGTTGAAGTTCACCAAGACTCGATTTTCAGTCCACTGTTATTTATAACTGTGATGGAAGAAATCACAAAACCGATACGCACTGGTGACATTTGGAATCCAACAAATACTGATGATATCGCTTTAACGTCTGAGCGGAATGCAGCACAGATGTTTGAAGATTGGAGCACCAGACTCTCCGATCATGGATTCATAGTCAACATCAGCAAAACCAAAGCAAGAAACACTGGTGAACCCATGCAATTCACAGCTACTGGACGATTGCCCTGTTCAGTTTGTAAAGCTGGTGTAGGTAACAATTCAATCAAGTGTCAGCAGTGTAATCAGTGGGGTCACAAACGTTGTTCAAAAATAATTGGTACTTTATATAAAGTGTCCAATTTTGTTTGCCCTGCTTGCATCAATCACACAACAACAAATACGAAATAGCAATGAAGGTAGAGAAAGTCACATCGTTTCAATATCTAGGGGATGTTCTGGATTGTGCTGGAACAGCTGAAGCTGCCGTTCGAGCACGCATACGTGCAGCCTGGAATGAATGGCACCTCCTTGCCTCTATATTGATGCGGCGTGATATCTCACTACCACTACGATCAAGACTTTATAAATCTGTGATACGTCCGGTCTTGTTATATGGTGCAGAAACATGGCCAATGACAACCAAACTGGAACAACAACTTCAACGAACATGCTCCAATGGATGCAACGAATTAGTCTGAAGGACCACATCAAATCTACCGAAATCCTGCGTCGTGCTGGTTTAGATGATATAAAGGACAAATGCCGGCAACACCGTCTGAGGTGGTTTGGTCATGTCAAACAAAGTGGAAGCAGTGCCATAACTTCTCATGCAGATGTTGAAGTACCTGGCACACGTCCCAAAGAAGTCCTGGTCGCAAACAATCGAGCAAGACATGAAAGCTCTAAATTTAAATGAAATAGATACAACTGATCGTCTAATTTGGCGCAAAAAAATTGATGGCAAAGAAAACAACGTCCCACCTCGGGGGAACTGGGTCTCTGGACGCTAAACGAAGATTGATTGATATGTAAACTATGTACTATAACATTATTTTGTCAGACTCGTTCCATTCGATAACCAATCCGATTATAATGACGATGAAAAGAACAATCCGGATGGTTCATTTTCCAAGCAAATGTCTCATCAATGTGAACTTTATATAGCAACTTATAATTTATGTTTCGACCAATTAAGTTTATATTTCAACGCATCATTTGCCGTTAGGCAACTGTCAAAAAACTTCCCACTCTTTTTCATAAATATAACTTTTGTGGTGAACAAAAAAAAATGTTAGACAATTTTATCTAATCAATCTTTAAAACAAATATTTTACACATTAACACTTTTCTGAACGTGTTAGAATATGGAACAACTTATTAAAAAACAATTTTTATTATGACGGTCAATAACTATTGCGCATTTTAAGTGTGAATTGGAGGGGTTTTTGTTGAAGAGTGCTAGGAACTAAAAAGTTTATTTGATTATGCTAATTTTTAATAAAAAAATATAGGCCAACCTGAAAACAAGTTTACCAAACTTATGTGAACAAATCTAATTTTCACGTTTTCAAGCAGATGTTTTACTATAGTTTTTCAATTCTCGCTCTTTCAGTCAGATAATTCTATCATAAACTTTCGCGTTCTCAAGCAGATCTAATCATAAAATGGTAACAAAATTAAAATGTTTGTAATTCGTTATCACTCAAACTATTCAAAATATTTTTGCATTAGCATTTTTACACATATGCACTTTTTTGTCATAATAAAGGAAATGATTGAAAGTTTAAATTTTCCAACCGTAGATTGTACAACATACATTGAATGCTAAAATTTTTTTCGTTAAATAATAAACTTCAAGCAGATAATCCATTATAAATTTCGCGTTTTCAAGCAGATCTATCATAAAATTGAAATCCCCTGGCACAAATATTAACTTCGTTATCTGACATTTATAGCCCGGAATCTTGCATCCAAATCTTGCTAGTAAAATTAAAATATAAACGATGCTCAATTTTCAGTTCCTGTTAATAGAAGTATGCGATCATGGAAATATACAAAGTCGGATCGTCGTTTAAATTAATGGATGTGTTTAGTTAAAAGGTTAAAGGTCATTCTTTTGCACTTCTTCATGAGGTATTAGCGAAAAACACACAACATTCTTTGTATTCGAACCCAGTCACTGCAAACAGCAAGACCAGGCACGTTTAATCATTGAGTCATCACATTATTATGGAGGTTGTAGTTGAGGTGCATAAAGTGTGGAAGTGATAAGATCCTGGGTACGGACACCGTTCACATATATCCATTATTATTTACCGATTTCGTGATTAGATTTTTTTGACTAAATCAATTAAATGTATCTCATAAATAATCTGTTTGAATGTTTTTTCATTGTGTTAGTCAAAAGGCTCATTGCCTGCGCTCGCTGACAATTTATTAATACTAATTTTGCTTAGTGTACGCTTTTGAGTAAATTAAAAAAAACACGTCTAAAAGTATTATACTTTATTGCAGTAATAAGAAACAGAATTGAGAATGTAAAAACCCAAACAGTGAAAACGAACAAAAATTAAATTATTAACTGTACCTATATACACACATCCACACACACATATATATATAATTATGGTTGAGACTGTCGTAGATACAATTGTTAAGAAATATTACTGCATTCAATGATATTTCTTAACGAATATATATTATATATATATATATATATATATATATATATATATATATATATATATTGCCCACTTAGCATTAATTAACTTTTTAAAAATGCACTCAACGATATGGAATTGTTTAAAATCGTATTTATTGAGAACTAGTGACATAATTAGGCTGGCTAACAACGTTGTTTTGGTGTAAACCCCATCTTCAGAGCCTTTTATGAGATACAAATATTAAAATAAATGGAAATGTAAACCATATAAAATAAAATTAAATTAATACCTAAAATGTTACGTGTTGTGATTTAAAACAGGCGAAATTAAACATAGTAATATATGAATAAATAATTTGAAGAGTTACATTAAAAGCAAAATGTAATACAAATTGTAATGCAGATGATAGCTTTATTAGCAAGCCAAATTATGTTAAGGATTGCCAAAAAAAGCTTTTTCTGTATAAGATAAAAATGAATAAAAAAGTAAATAACAAATTTTTTCTATAGAAATAAGTTAAAAAATAATGATAAAAATACGATACGAAATATTGAACAAAAAACTGATCAAAGATGAAAATGCAGTGATATTTCTTTACAATTTTATCTAAGACAGTCTTAACCCTAACATACATATATATTATCCATCTATTATATGATGTATATGTATATATATATAAATATATATATATATATATATATATATATCTGCTGGTAGACCAAATTCTTAACATTATGTAATAAATTCCACCCATTTATTAGTGATTATCAACTTATATTCGAATTTTTCAATTTGTCAGTAAATTTTTATTGGCAAATTTAAGTCTGTTCAAAATTAAAAGTTTCAATTTTTATCGATAAAATTAAGTTCTTTAAAAATTGAAACTTTCAATTTTGAACAGACTTAATTTTGACAATTTGTCTTAGTAAATTTTTATCGACAAAATTTAGTCTGTTCAAAATTGAAAGTTTCAATTTTTAAAGACAAAATTAAACTCGTTCAAAATTGAAACTTTACTAAATTTACTAAGACAAACTGAAAAATTCGAATATAAGTTGATAAACACGTGAAATTTATTACATAATATATATATATATATTATGTATATATGTATATATATATATAAGCTTAAGACATAAAATTTAACTTATATCTCAATGAACAAGAGTTTATTTGGTAAAATACAAAACAGCGTATTCTATGACGTTCGTAGGCTTGTCAATAAGAAGTTGTTGCAAAAAATCAGCAATTAAGTTTTTCCACCCAGGATATTTGTAATTGTACTTCAAAAGATTTCCAATTATGTGCTCCTAATAAAATCAACAAAACAACTGCTACACTTTTAAATTGCATTAAGTCATAAAATTGCTCTAGATCACCTTTTGGCATTTGAAGATAGAAAGCATTTCCATATCACGTTCCCAGTCGAACTTTTTCAACATTTTAGATTCGTCAACAAAATATTGTGATGCTTTTAAATAAATAATAACAATAGTATCAATACTTTAGCCATTAGATTTAATTATACCATGATTTTATTGATTACAGACCAAAAAATATACATAGAAAGTACTAGATGGTAATACAACAAACCAAATTGTCTAACAATATAAGTTTCCAGATTAAAAAAAATCAAGCATATCCAAAAACAGATGTAGGATCAGATCAGCTGGTACAAAATTCTAGTCTTAAACAACAAAAATAAAAACCCCAAAAGATTCTATGTAGAAAATGGTAGATTTTCAACGCAGATGCTATTGCAGAGGCAGAAAATAAAAGAAGTACGGGAGAAAGATGATTAGATTTAATTATAAAAACAGAAGAGGAAATTGGTTGTAAAAGATGCAGTAAACAGGAACGGATCAGAATCAATATCAGTGTAATGATTTGTACAGTGCCCATATCGACGGACTTCAGAAGGATTATAAAGAAAATGATAAAACTAAGCAAGAAAAAATTGTAAAAAGTAAAACTGAAAAAAAAAAACAGAAAGTACTACAGATAAAATAAAGCAGCCAGAGAGAAGGTTTCTCAGTGCCATGAAAACTCAATGAATGAGACATGCACAAAAATGGAACGTGCACTTGACGAGCTGAGTCAACTAAGGCTTTTGAAAATATTATGCACAACTGAGCAAGACATTAAGTGATATGTTAAAAGTGAAAAAAGCCTCTGCCCAAATTTGACCCAACGGTATACTTTTGAGATCCAAAAATACAAAGGTTCTAAGCCACAAGCTTCGAGAAACATGACATTAACATCAATGCAACTTTTTTTGTCTTTAAAAGGCTGCAAATAAAAATAATTTTTGTGTTTTCGTTTACCAAAAGCTGAACCTTCTTTCCGGATAACGTGAAACATGTCTAATTGTCTATTGATAGCACAAAGCAGCGTGGCATTCAGCAAAATGGACAAATTTTGTATTAAAACCCTGGAATTTATCATTGAAAAAACTTTAGCCCTCTCAAACATAGTTTGAATGCATACACATCAGAGGTGCCAACGTTCGCAAACTTTTCAATAATAATTTAGTTCTTTTAATAAATTTACAATTATACATGATAGATTGTGTGAAATTGTTGATTTAAAAATTTATCATCCAAAACCGCAATTTCACAAGAAATCCGAAAATTTGTAACTTTATAAACGCGTATTGTTTAAAAATCTAAAAAAGCAAAATGATACTCAAAGATTTTTATTAATTTTATTCACAGTAGTATTTGCAAAAATAAGTGTTTTTTAAGAATCATACTTAAACATTTATATAAATGTAAAAACTGTTTTTTCTCTTATCATTTCTTTGAATAAATTCGTTAATAATTGAATCCAAGTTCATTTCATTTGCCATATCCTTGTTAAAATGAAGACTAGAAATGGAATTGAGTCGTTTTTGTCCCCACTGTCGATCTTAAGTATGTTTTTTAACCTTCTAAGCTCAGAAAATAACCGTTTAGCAGTGGCGAAAGTCGTATCAATCAATCAATCAATCAATCAATCAATCAATCAATCAATCAATCGATCGATCGATCGATCGATCGATCGATCAATAAATCAATCAATAAATCAATCAATCAATCAATCAATCAATCAATCAATCAATCAATCAATCAATCAATCAATAAGCTTGTAAAGCGCTATTTCCGCGATGTTCAACAGCGCTCCTCAATGTCTTTTGAAAACAGATGGGTCTTAAGATCCGCTCTAAACTTCGTAAGTGATGGAGAAGTAGTCAGAGAAGTAGGTAGAGAGTTCCAGAGAAAAGGGCCAGAAAAAGCAAAAGCAGATTTAGCAAAAGAGTGTTTAACACGAGTTAAAAAGAAGCGAGAACAAGAAGACGATCGTAAACCGGGGCGTTTAGGTTCAATTAATATATCTGATAAGTATTTGGAAAATAATTTACATTGTAAACATAAACGTGCAAATTTTAAAAATTATTCTATATTTTATAGGGGGCCAGTGCAAGAGAACATGGAGATATATGAAAAAAGAAAGGAACACGAGCAACAGAGTTAAAAGCTTTATTTAAAGGATGGAGTATAGAATCAGGAAGACCATAGTAGAGCGAGTTACAATAATCAATCCTAGATAAGACTAACGAAGTAAAAAGAAGGAGAAGAGTAGGATCATCAAGAAAAGGCAATAAAGTGTTTAGACTTATTAAAACAAATTAATTAAAATTTAGAAGGATTATGTTTAAAAACAAGCGGTAATTGAAGAAAGACATAGAGATAGATTATGAAGAACACCATTGAGATTAGATGAAGGAAAAGAAGTATAAATATAAGAATCATCAGCATATAGTTGGCTAGAGAAAGGAAAGTTTTTAATAATACGATGTAGTTCAGAGGTATAGGGTATAAATAGAAGAGAGCCAAGGATAGAACCCTGAGGTATTCCGAAAGTAAGAGTAGAGGAGTTAGAAGTATAATTATTGAGAACAACAGAAGAAAAACGATTACAGAGTTAAGAAGAAAACGAAGATAGACAAGAATCAGTACATAAATGTGCAAATTTTAAAAATTATTCTATATTTTATAGGTAGCCAGTGCAAGAGAACAAGATATGGAGATAGATGAGAAAAGAAAAGGGCACGAGCAACTAGACGAGCAGCAGAGTTAAAAGCTTTACCTAAAGGATAGAGTATAGAAACAGGAAGACCATAGTAGAGCAAGAATCCTAGATAAGATTAACGAAGTAACCAGAAAAAGAAAAGTAGGACCATCAAGAAAAGGCAAAATTTTTTTCATTCTACGTAGATGAAAGTAAGAACTTCTAGCAACATTATTAATCTGAGAAGAAAGAGACATACTAGAATCAAAGATAAAGCCTAGACTAAGAAACTTGTGAGAAACATCAAGAGTTTTAGAATCAGGTAAGATAATAGGAAGAACAGTAATTGAGTATTTAGATTTATTAAAATAAATTAATTCAAACTTAGAAGGATTAAGTTTAAGACACATAGAGTCAGATCAAGCGAGAATTGAAGAAAGATATAGAGATACGGTACGGAGTTGTTACGAGCTCAACGACGACAAACGTAAGGTAGCGAACGAAGTAGTTATCTGTTGCGTTGGAGGATGGCGAACGAAGAAGTTGCCTTTCAACGTAACAACCACGTTAGTCGGTTGGGTAAAGCACAGGTGGTGCAATATTGGTACAGAAGACGGCTGGAACCGAAGGAGTCAACCCCACATAACACCAGTGTTCGAAGGATTCTACATTGTTGTCAAGTGAAGAAGTTGAAACAGTATCCGCTCGTACGTGGTCACAGCACTGCATACTAACCTCGAACTTTAACTTTTATTTTGGTTTTCTTTATTGACATTGTATATTTATTTGGTATAGTTTTCAGTTTACAGAATAAAATTTTTTTGATTTGTGTCTACGTCTCAACCTTGCCGTAAGAACCCGCTACAACCACCATAAGAAGAATGAGAAGATGATAGAAGATCTTTTGGAGGTCTAGAGAGTTCAAGAAAGCTGTAACCATCAGTAGCAAAAATAAGAGAGGGAGAGTTAGATCCTCGGGCCAAGTTTCAGTAAGGAGGAAGAGAATATTTGATGGATATAGAGCGATTTTTTATTAATTGATCTTATGTTAATATTAAATAGTGAAATTGTAGAGGTAGGTTGGATATCGGTACTTTTAAATCTAGTTATATTTAAATTAATAGAATTATTATTCTTATCATTAGTATTAATTACATTAGAGTGTGGTTTAATAAAGTTATAATACTTGCTATTAGTATTATTATTATTAATATAATTATTGTTACTAATTATATTTATTTCTTTGTTAGAGTTAAATTTATTGTTTTTATTGTTATTATTAGCCCTAAGATTAAAGTAGAAAATGCGCCGCCCGACTACTCTCACCGGAGACAAAGGAGTGTCAGAGAGGCTAAGAGAAAGTCTCTCTAGAGTAAGACATAATAATATTTACAAGTTATAGAAAAAGATTAGAA